TGTGCTGAAAGGTTTGCTTGCACTAATGCACACTTTTTCAATTGAATTAAACATAAGGGTCTGTCAAATCAGAATATGTTGACACTTTTCCAAGGGTTTTATGATAATATAACATGCTCTTTCCAATCAGCACACGCTGACCTTCAAATCTAATTAAACCAGAGCGTTATTTAGTGGCAGAGGTTGAGTTTTTATGCATATAAATGATTTTTTAACCTGTGCGTACATCCAAAGAAATCCACTCTCTGCATCATAACAGGTTTTTATTTATTTATATATGTGTATATGTATATATATATATATATATATAAAAATACAAAAGAGTTATTTTAAATTGTAATAATATTTCACAATATTACTGTTATATATTAGAAACAAACAAATAAATAAAATCTACACGAGCCTACATAGTCAGGAAAAAGTCTATATGTTAAGGAAAAATGCAGCCAACTGTTTTTGTTGTTTCTAGCATATACAGGGGGTCTTTACGGTTTGAAAATCATCCCAGGATGCACCTCATAAAGTGAAATATAGTAAAGTTTTGCTTGTTTTTAACATTGTTTGGTCACTACATTCCCACACTTTCATTTGTGCTGTTTCATAGGTTTGATGACTTTATTATTCTCCTGAAATGCATAAAATAGCATCAGGCCTGGCAAAAACTTTTCTCTAGTCATATACTGTACAGGCGCAGGACAGCAGGAGGGCTGGAAATACTGCCGTGCTGTGTTTTTGTGTAAGGGTGGGTGTCTGCAGGCACCGCTGGGGGACTTTTTAAGATGAGACTCAGTCTAACACTTGATTTGCACTTTTCAGCCTGCAGTTTCAGTTACTGTAGTCTATGGGGCACTGCTGTTTCGCCGACATCTGAGATTGCTTTCAACTATGTGCCTCTAATGAAGTTTGGCTAGAACAGCAGCACTGAGTCAAGCAGTCCAGTGAGGCTTCCACACTGGAATTTGACACTGGAATTATTGGAATAAAAGACTTAAACATCAATATGTTTAAATTATCTGGGGCAGTAACCCAGTACAGACAGTACTGGAACAACTTGCACCAATATACTGCACCTTTGTGAAATATAATATTTGATTATCGCACTTTTAAGATGAAGCTAAGCATCCCATTATAACACAACTCATAATAAAGAAGCTCATTTATTGTATTGCTTTAAACTCATTAACAACTACATCATGTTATTGGTTTGAGTATTATTACCGATCTGACATTTACGGACAAGTATTAAGGATTTAAATTCGTGTCGAAAAGTTCACTGCTACAAATCAGCCCCTCAATATTCTTCAGCACGAACACACAGTGACCTTTTTGCTGACGTTAAAGTACACTTTGTTTATCAGTTTACGTCAGCTTTAACCGGTTTTCTTCACCAGATCAGATCTTCTCTCTTCAATGCTTATACTCTTAAGAAAGTCAGAGTTTACTGTTCACAGAATGAATGTTTATGTGAATTCCAGCAGGATGCGGCCTCTGTCACATCCTCTGCCATTATGCACAGTATCCCACAATGCCTTCATTCACTGCTGCTCCTCCTCTAAACACTGGTTTATTGAAGCAGATTTTTGACAGATATTTACAACCCAAGCTGATGAAAAATGCGTACCTGTGATGACATTTTTGCAAAAACAACATTATGTTGCTTCTTGCACGTTTTACGTGAAATGTCCAGTGAGTGGCACTAAAAAGTGCATTCAAAATTCTTCAAAACAGATAAATGTGACTATGCCAATATCTTATTACGTTGGTTCATGACCATATCTCAGCAGATAGGAAATTGAGTGGTGCTAAAAGGTTAATGCTCTATTACATAAAAAAATAATGTACCTCATTTACACTAAACACCGCTGTGTTAACGAGAAAATGTGAGACAAAAGCACATTTGCTAAAGAAGCCATGCTATTGTAACCCTGTTTCTACATGGCTTTGAGCACTTTTTTCGCACTATGTTTTACAGGACTCATATCCAAGAGTTTTGCATTGCAAGTGTACCAGGTGAGATACTGAGCAAGTTTACTATGCCAGAAAAACCATACACATGGAGCTGGATATGTGTTGTAAACGTTAAAATGTATTAGTTTACAATTCATGCGCTACAGTATAAGTGGTTTTGAGGTGGTAATATAATATTTAGCAAGGAACCATATGAAAAATTGAAATAATCTTCCCCATAATCATAATTTGTGTGAAAAGGAATAACAGTTGTTGGCTGTTTACCACTGCTAGTGTTTAAATTATATGTACAACTTGATCTCACAGAAAAGCACCATGTTATCAGAGGAACGTGAGCTGAAGAATCTGTTCTGAGCAACACTAATCGAGACGCACTGAGAGAAAGTAAACTAAAGCTGCGATGAGAGTTCAAAATAATTAATATAGTGAATAAAATGTGTCTCTTGTATTGAGTCCAAACAGAAGCCACAGCCATAACGATGATGGATGGATGCCTGCACCCTTGGCATTTCACATCAGCATAAAGCTCCCACATTACACGTGCGCGGGGGACACGCCGAGACCACGAGCCTCCCTCTTGGGGCCCTGCCGAAGAGAGCCTGTCTCATCATTTATGTGGAGCGGTCTCCCCAGCTGTGTAAAAAGAATGGGAAATAAAGCTGAGGCCTAATCAAGGACCCTCATCAGTGGAGCCGGTGGCATTTTTCCTGCTTTTGCCAAACGAAACAAACTCAATTACCATTAGAAAGCTGCCCATCTAATGTGGATGAACAATGGCAGGCGCTTGATGGATCCACGCAGGCCGTTAGCGTCTGCCTTCCTACACCAGTCACTCAAACTTCGGCGTGCGGACCTTCTAATGGCCGCGATAACGGTGACTCATTACGATGTCATATCCTTCATGCCTGACTTCTTGTCAACCCAGACAAAGACCTGATACACGCACCAGGGTAGCAGCCAATCAAACTGTTGGAAAAATAAGCAGAGGCCATTTTAAATTTCCTCTCTGTGCAGACAGCGTTTAAGATTGACTGACAGTGAAAAACTGGGAAAGGACACTGAATGTATAATTCAGAATATATAAGCTCTTAGAATCAACATATTTGTTGCTTTTTTGTACTGAATGGTGGAATGTGACAATATAGCAGCACAGAAAACCTCTTAAGGTAATTTTCCCCATCAGAAATATGAGACTATATGAGAACAGAGAGTCTGTTATTTATGTTGTTAATAGTGCTAAAATCAACTTCCTCTAGTTAGTGGTTTGTACTAGTGAAAAGAGGAAACTGCACTTCTGATATTTTTGTATGTTCCTAAAACAACATTAACAGGACTTCATACTTTTGTAAGCCTTACACTTATAACATCCTGCAAACTGCATACGTTTGATCAGATATAAGGTAATACTGTGAAATATAATTACAATTTGTTTATAATGTTTATAGAGTGGAAATGCACTCCTGACAGAAACAACATTACTGATTTTAAAAATTACCTTTCTAAAAGAATGCACCCCTAAAAATTAAAATAAATATAGGAAAAAGCTTTTGATTAAGTCAGAGGAACTTATTCGTTTTGAAGTCAAATTAAAAGATTCATTTTCAAATTATTAATGTTATTTTCACACATACAGTACATGCAGAATAATGGGGAAAAACATAATACATTAAGAATTTATGCTTTAAACAGACCAAAAACTTAGTTAAATGTACCTTGTTTAAAGACATTCAGAAAAGTTAATGTTTATAGAGTGGAAATGCACTCCTGACAGAAACAACATTACTGATTTTAAAAATTACCTTTCTAAAAGAATGCACCCCTAAAAATTAAAATAAATATAGGAAAAAGCTTTTGATTAAGTCAGAGGAACTTATTCGTTTTGAAGTCAAATTAAAAGATTCATTTTCAAATTATTAATGTTATTTTCACACATACAGTACATGCAGAATAATGGGGAAAAACACATAATACATTAAGAATTTATGCTTTAAACAGACCAAAAACTTAGTTAAACGTACCTTGTTTAAAGACATTCAGAAAAGTTTTACTAATAAATAAATAAACACATACAGGCATACATACATACTGATTAATGATAATATTTTTCACTGTATCTCCTTAAAATACATATAACCCATATGAAGTCAATGACTGCAAAGCAAAGAGTGCATTTTTCAGGAAGATTACCTTTAACGACTGGGAAGTGTAGAACAATGCTTTTCAGTGACATGCTAATTGTTGGGCCTGTCTTTTGCAAAAAAACATAATGGACCACAAAATGACTTCTGTCACGTCACTTCAGTTGCTCTGACAATTAAAACCTCAGGTGGGAGAAATTGCGCGGAGAGACGAAGAGAAAGTAAACGACAGAGAGGAGGGAAAAGTTGTCTGACAGTTTAGCAACATAATAGTTTTAGCTGGCTTGCCTGCTGAGTTTGGCTTTTCTGAAGTCGCAGAACAAAGCAACCATGATGAAGCATCTTGACAGCTGGTAGTTAGAACCATTCTCTAATATAGAAGAATGTCTGACACTACGTGCGTTCAATATCTGTTTGATTTAAATGAACCCATGAGTCACATGCCAGTGAGCAATTGGATAAAAGAGAAATTAAGAGCATTTGCTTGCCCAAAATTATAATTTGAGTTCATCTGTCTTCTGTGCTCGATCATCTGACAATAGAATGAGAATGATAGATATCCTGAGAGAAAAAAAAGTGTTTTATTCTTTCATGCCATCTCACCTCACAACATAATAATTTCTGAATTTATACTTCAGGATTCTCATGAGACCTCATGAACTTGCTAAATTCCAAGTGTGATGCTAATGTTAAACATGTAAAAATAAATTTTAATAGCAAATAAATTTGATATTAAAGGCTGTTGCATAGTTGCACATTAAATTATTTACGTTCACCAATCCCATCGCAGAAGATTGTGACATTTGTGTTAACTTCCTGCATATTGCAAGTTCCTTTTTGCATAAATACATGAACCATTACCACAAACACACAGATACATCAGGAGTACAACGAAATACCCCTTAATAGACAGTATTAGTTAGGTAGGACTTATAGCTTTGTTTATTATTTCACATTTACGCTTCAAAATTAAAAGGCTGTAGCCATCCAAACCTGCATGGAAAATGTCTGGGCATGTGAATGAAAGTATGGATAAAGGTTCGATAATGGACTCAGAAGACAGAATAGAGAAGATGGTTGATATCTATGTGAGTGCTGAGGCTGTAAGAGATATGAAACATAAGAAAGACAAAGAGGACTTTGACAACCAAACACCGAAAACCCAAACACCTCAACACACAGGTAACTGAGATTAATTGCAAAAACATTTACTCATAAAAGCTGGTGTAAATTGGATAGAGAAATGGAGAAGAAAATAGAATAACATAATGTCTGTCATTTTTAGGAAGTGATCCAGTGAGGAACAGAAGCTCCAGAGCAGCTGCAGTGTGTTTGGTGCTGCTGTGTGTTCTTCTGCTGACTGCAGTCATAGTGCTGTGTGTAACATTCACTCAAGAGAGACAACAGTTCATATCCAAGAATGAAAACCTGACCAATGAGAGAGAGCAGCTAATACTCAAGAACACAAACCTGACCAATGAGAGAGAGCAGCTAATACTCAAGATCACAAACCTGACCAATGAGAGAGAACAGCTAAGAAATGAACTTCAGATTTGTGGTAAAGTTTCTTTAGTCTATGTATTTATTTGCTATACATTAGACATTTTTAAATTATGATGGAGTTGGGTTGTGGTCGCAGTAACTTTTAGTGTACACAATGTATGAATATACTTTCTGTTAGAAGTTACAGACAGATGAGTGTGAATGGGGATAACAAGCTAACAGCTGAACTGGTTCTGTTAACAGTTGGATGGATTTACTATCAATCCAGTCTTTACTACATGTCCAAAGAGAAGAAAAACTGGACTGAGAGCAGAAGATACTGTACAGAGAGAGGAGCAGATCTGATCATCATAAACAACAGAGAGGAAAAAGTGAGTGAGATATTGTGTTTACAGTGTGTAGCAGCTAAATGTGAGATGGTCAGATAAAATGTATCTATTTATGATATAAATGTGCAACCTTTTTATCTGCTCAGGATTTTGTTCACAACACGTCTGGTAATGCTGTATTTTATATTGGTCTGACTGACATTGATGTGGAGGGCACATGGAAATGGGTTGATGGCAGCACACCGAACAGGTGAGAAATCACTGAATTAAACTAATTATAATCTAATAAATTATTCTCACAGTCAGTATCATATCACACAGAAAGCAGCACTGAACATCTAATGCTGATCTGTAGTTTCAGCTTCTGGGCGTCCCATGGACAAATAATAGAGCCAAATGGAGGAAACGGCCAAGTAGAAGAGGACTGTGCTGTGACTGTAGCTGTGCCTAAACTGCCAGAGTGGGCTAATTTAGTAGGGTGGCTTGATGTTGCATGTATTGAACAATTTCAATGGATCTGTGAGAAGAGGATTTCACAGTTCATACTGCCATAGGAACATATCATACACCTTTCTGACACAATTTCAACAATACAAAACTTTTGTAATAATTGATTAACATTTAAAACAGTGTTTCTCAACCCTCAACTGCACATTTTGAATGTCTCCTTTTGTCAGACTCCCATTTCATGTCCATAATACATAATGTGCAAAATGGGACTCCAGAAGTGCGTTTCATTCAACCAGAAATGCCTTGTGAGTGAACGTCTCAGAGTTTTCCAATTTATAATTGAGATTTCAGTCTTCATTTATTATTTGTACATTATTCAGTTATACATCACCAGTCACTGTGAAACATTCCAGTACTTAAAATAAGTTTGAATAAAACAAAGGTGTTAAACAGGAGTTAAGGCTGCAGCATTATTATTAATTCATCCCAGGTTTTGGTTTGTATTCATTTTTCATAAATGAAAATTGTGAGACAAGCATGTTAGATGTGATAGTTACAATGCAAAATACTTGAAAAAAGTCTGCACACTCCACCAAAAATCATATGCAAGATAAAAGAAACAAGGCAAACGTTTCGGTCACATAGTTACAATGCAAACATCATGATGATGGTTAAGATAAAACAAATCTGATCTTAAAAAACACTGAATCTGTATTTATTTACAGAAGTGTATTATGGTATTAAACCTAAACTGAAGACTCAAGCCTTGTCTGTGATGATGTTGCAGGATGTTCTGAATGAATGCATTTTGTCAAGCGAAATTCAACTTGATAAACATTAAAGTTCACCTAAAAATGGAAATTCTGAATGGACCACTTTCAAGCTTTTTTTTTTTAAAAAGAGAAAATTTGCTAGGAGATATTTTGACAGCATTTCTGTTTTATTTTTATTATGTGTTCTTGTGGTATTCCGTATAATTAAATTAAACTAAGTATAATATGAAACATCTTTGTTTTCATTACACACATCTACTCATTATTATAAAAAAAAATAACAAAAATAACAAAAATTCCACATTTTATGAATAATCAAGGCTATGACAGAACACAAAAGGAATTATTTAGTATGATTCATTACTCAGTGCTTAATTATGCTTGGTGTTAGTTTCTCAAGAGTTCACATCTTCCTTCACATATTCTTTCCATGAGTGTTATCACAAGTCCTTAGCCATCTTCAAGAAATGACTAAAAACACATCTGTTCCACACATACACACCTTGCTACGTGTACTGCGTTAGGCTAACCAAGACTTGTCATTTGCACTTACATATTGTTGCTCCTTTGTTAGTTTTGATTGCTTCTATTGTCCTCATTTGTAAGTCGCTTTGAATAAAAGCATCTGCTAAATGACTAAATATAAATGTAAATGTAAGTTGCTCTCTTGCTGATATTCCTGATGATTTTGAAGTTAGTGTAATTTATCATCATGCAAAAAAATAAAAAAATAAAAAAAATTAAATACATAAAATAAAATAAAAAAGTAGTAATAATAATAATAATAAAACTGAAAGCACAAGCCATTCTGTCAGTTTATGTTTTAATGCTAAATATAATGTTAAAACTGTATGTATTATGACACGCTGGTGCCCAACGTGAGAACCAGCAGTTAGAGAGGTTCCTGAATCTTATTTATTGGTCAGTTGGGTTATTGGTTGGTTGAAAACAATGGAGAATATTCTCTGTTTTTCTGTAGGTGTGCTCAGCCATTCCTATGGGTGCTCAAGCCCTTACTGTAAATTAAGTGTCCAATGTAAATTCAATAGATCTTGACTATGAATGCTTATATGCTTATATATGAACTGTATATGATCATAAACTGAACATGTTTTAATATTACATACTATGATTACACACAAGAATACACTGGGGTGCAAACAGTATCTGCCACTATTTACACTCAGTGCAAATAAAAATGAAAATAGTAACTAATGTTTACAGTAAGTGCAAATAGCCTTCAAACCTGTAGCTGCACGTAAGACATTCAAATGTAAGCACAATTGACCTTAATCTTGTTTAAACAAACCTCTTTTAGTAAAAAAAGGCATAGCAAGTTGGCATAGCAGTAATAAAATAATCAACCTGATTAGATGACAAAAAAAACGGAAGAAGAAATGGATGGAGAACAGATCCCTGTAGTTCCCCTTCAAAGCCGCCTATGGTTTAGCATTAAATATAACACTTTAGAAGCCTGTTACAACAGGAAAACCTGTGACAACATATAACCTATTGGATGTCATACGTATACTAACATCAGATAATATTTCACAGTTCAATTTCAAAAGACTTTTCACAATTTACTTTAATACAACACCAAAATATTCAGCTACTTATCAATGCTAATTAATCATGCATTTCTTTGTATAATTTTAAACCATATAAACTAGAAAGAATGAAATATATTATATTGGTTTTTGTTTTTTTACACTGCCTAAAAAATTCTTAATCAGTATTTTGACTTTTTTTTCAGTATAAACATCTGAACATCCTTAAAACAAGCATTTACGAAATTGTGTAAAATATTCCAGAAAAAAAGTGTTTTAATTAAATTGAATTTAATTGAACTGCACTACAGAAACCAAAAGATGTTTAGGATTTGACAAACCTCAACAGTTGCTGACAGTAGTTCTGTTAAAAAAGTTTACCTCCTTGAAAATCATCAGATTACTCACACTTCTTGAAAAACATGGGGGAAACAAATCCAGTGTGCTTCTGCAGTGAGTTGAAGTTCCTGTCTGCATAAATACTGGCCACACAAACACAGATGAAGAGAACAACACAGTCCATTCCAGGAGAGAGACACTAGTGTAACACCAAAACTGTCTGAAAGTGTAAAAGAAAATCTAGGAAAAATTTGGAAAATGTACAAAGATGGGGCAAGCACTGATAATATCTATGTAAATGACGTTATAAGGGGTAAAATTGGAAAAGACTCAACGCATGGAAAATCATCTGAACTCACAGGTACTGATATTAATAATTCACTCAGTTTTGATGCTCTCAACTGATGTGTGCTGTGTTAAGTGGATAAATAAAGAGAATAACAGCATGTTTGTTCTTCAGGAAGTGATTCAGTGAGGGTCAGAAACTACAGAGCAGCTGCAGTATGTTTGGTGCTGCTGTGTGTTCTTCTGCTGACTGCAGTCATAGAGCTGTGTGTCACACTCACTCAAGAGAGACAACAGCTCAAATCCAAAATGAAAACCTGACCAATGAGAGAGAGCAGCTAATACTCAAGAACACAAACCTGACCAATGAGAGAGAACAGCTAATACTCAAGAACACAAACCTGACCAATGAGAGAGAACAGCTAATACTCAAGAACACAAACCTGACCAATGAGAGAGAACAGCTAAGAAATCAACTTCAGATCTGTGGTAAAGTTTCTTTACTCTATGTATTTATTTGCTATCCACCTTATTTTTAACGTAAGAGTGGCCATTTGTAAGTTCAATGTCCCGGCTTCCAGTGTCATTTGCTTCCACTTATTTTAGCTGTACAAAACAGCTTGTTTAGTTGATTGATAAACTGGTGTTTCTTACCATATTATTTAATGTATTGTTGTAATTATGAACAAACTGGTCTGTAGCACAAATTGTTTTACCATAGCTTTGTATATAAGTCTCACGCATTCACAGAAAATAGCTTACTTCCACATTGAAAAAATTAAGGTGGATACAGCAGACATTTTTAAAGCCTGATGGAGTTGGGTTGATGAGTGTAAATGGGAGTAAAAAGCTAACAGCTGAACTGGTTCTGTTAACAGTTGGATGGACTTGCTATAAATCCAGTTTTTACTACATACCCAAAGAGAAGAAAAACTGGACTGAGAGCAGAAGATACTGTACAGAGAGAGGAGCAGATCTGATCATCATAAACAACAGAGAGGAAAAAGTGAGTGAGAGATTGTGTTTTTACAATGTGTAGCAGCTAAACATGAGATGGTCAGATGAAATGTGTCTATTTATGATATAAATGTGCAACCGTTTTATCTGCTCAGGAGTTTGTTCACAACACGTACACTCTTAAAAATAAAGGTGCTTCACGATGCCATAGAAGAACCTTTTTGTCTAAATGGTTCCATAAAGAACCTTTAACATCTGAAGAACCTTTCTGTTTCACAAAAGGTTCTTTGTGGTGAAAAAAGGTTCTTCAGATTACAAAAAGGTAAGAAAGAGATGGTTCTTTAAAGAACCTTTGACTGAATGGTTCTTTGTGGAACCAAAAATGGTTCTTCTATGGCATCGCTGTGAAGAACCTTTTGAAGCACCTTTATTTTTAAGAGTGTATGGTAATGCTGTATTTTATATTGGTCTGACTGACATTGATGTGGAGGGCAGATGGAAATGGGTTGATGGCAGCACACTGAACTCCAGGTGAGAAATCACTTAAACTAATTATTATCTAATAAATTATTCTCACAGTCAGTATCATATCAAACAGAAAGCAGCACTGAACATCTAATGCTGATCTGTAGTTTCAGTTTCTGGGCATCAGGAGAGCCAAATAGAGGACAAGGTATTGTAGACGAGGACTGTGTTGTGACTGTAGCTGTGCCTTAAACTGCCAGAGTGGCCTAATTTAGGGTGGCTTGATTATTCATGTAATTAAAATTTTCAATGGATCTGTGAGAAGAGGATTTCACAGTTCATTCTGCCATAGGAACATCACACACCTTTCTGACACAAGTTCAACAATACAAAACTTTTGTAATAATTCAACCAGAAATGTCTTGCGAATTTACAATTTACAATTTACGTCACAGAGTTTTCTGCCATATAAGTGAGATTCCAGTCTTCAGTTATTATATGTACATTATTCAGTTATACATCACCAGTCATTGTGTATCACTCCAGCATTTAAAATAAGTTTGAATAAAACAAAAGTGTTAAAGGGGTCATATGATGCTACATGCACTTTTACAAGTTGTTTGAACTGAAATGTGCCCCCGATCTACATAAATGCGTCTATGTTCGCGCGAATCATTCATGATCTAGCCTCATCTACAGAAGAAGTGAGTATAATGTTTTGTAATGAATCTTTGCAAATCGCCTTTCCTAATAATGTGCTAATTAGCAAGTTTCACAATTAATGCGGCTAAAGTAAACAGTCTCTCTTAGAGCGGCTCGGAAGAGAGGGGCGGGGTCAGCAGAGCTCATTAACATTTAAAGGAAAATGCTACAAAACGGCTTGCTCTGAAAAGAGCTGTTTTTGACAGGGTAAAAAAGGTGTTTTTTACACTACCATTGATAAATTTTAACCAAACTATGTTACAGACTTTTCATTAAGACCCTAACGAATCATATCAACTTGTGGAAAATTGGCATCCTATGACCCCTTTAAAAGGAGTTTATGCTCCGACATTATTGTTAAGTTCAATTTATCTCAGGTTTGGTTTGCAAGCATTTTTCACAGGTTTAAAGTATGTGAGACAAGTATGTTATACTCGTTGTGGTTAAGATAAAACACATCAAATCTGAAAAAAAAATACTACATTTTTATTTATTTACAGAAGTAAAATATGTAA